TTACAACTTATTATTATTTTTATAATAAACTGAAATAGAAGTCAAAAAGCCACCATCTATTGAAGAAGTGCAAACAATTTTTGGAATATATAATATATATTCTCAAAGGAATAAAATCTTAATGCAATGTGAATCAAAAGAGAACAAGAAACAAAGAAAGAAAAACCTGTGCAAGAATGGAAAAATATAACCAAGAATAATGTTAGGCAACGTCTAACAAAATCTCCAAAATGGAAATTCTCAAGAAATGACAAGGAATTGGCTCTACCATCTGTTATCAATTCATAAAACTCCCGAGCAAACTTTATCAATGCTAATTAATAACCCCAATGGAATTTCAGGTTGGATCACTGATATTATATATCTTCTACCAAAAACGGGTGAAACAGATAATCCGAAAAGTTATAGACCAATAACATGTCTGTCTACCACATATAAATTGATCACATTTGTCCTGACGAACTGTTTTTTTTTTCTCTTTTCTCGATGAAAACAACTTTTTTCCCTTGGAAGAGATGAGATGTCTAAGAGGTTCATATGATTTCAAATATCAACTACTAATAAATAAAATGATGGAAAATTGTAAGAATAAAGGTAGAAATCTCAGCAGGGCTTGGATACATTACCGCAAAACCTTTGAAAGTGTGCCAAATTCTTAGATCCTTGAAGGTTTGGAAATGTATAAAGTCTCCTCTGTGATAGTAAATTTCCTTGAATATAGCACTATGTGACGTCACCCCGTGCTGTCTGCCCCGTTGCCGTCCTGTCCTGTGACGACCAATGTGACTTGGTATTGGTCGCGGCACCGAATGTGACGTTCTAAACTTTTGCTGATTCGGATGGGAATCTGGTTAGATTCGGTATCAGCCTTGTCGTTCCCAGCTCGCCCCCAACGTCTGGTTACCGAAGTAACTGTTTTTATTTCTAGTCTAACCTACCCACGTTGATCTTAGGTAGACGAAATCAATCAGTCGCCGGGCCGTAATGCAAGTCGAGTCCGAACAAGGGTAATACCGCACAAGTATATGTAAAAGAAAATAAAGTAACAACTCGAAAAGTTCAAATGTGTTAAAAAAAGAATATCAATATTTTATATCTGGTTGCTGAATACAGGACTGGATCTTTCTCTCAAACCGCTAATATGGATACGTGACACGTTGCGTTTGTTAGGCGAGTCTTAACATCTTAAGTTGTTTTTCGATAACTGGTTTTTGGTGTATCTTTAGGTGATATTCGTAAAACTTGTTTTGGTGGTGTGAGTCTAAGTCGTTCTTCAAAAATAAATTGTTCTTGGTTAGAAGTTGAGGTCGTGATTACGTGGATCTTTCAGTCAGGTTCCTGCGAGGCGGGTCTCAGAGCTCACAGCTCAACTGCAACTAACTTCTCTCTGACTCAACTCTTGCCTGTCTCTGGCTCAACCCCTTGCCTGTCTGTCGTCTACTCGCCGCGACTCTGTTTATATGGACGCCGATCAAAACCGGGGTGGGCATGTCGGGGTTTGAGGTTCCTTGATAATTCTAAATCCGCATTAAGGATTTTCTTTGTTTTCGGTCATGAAAATTTATTACTTTCCATTTTTGGAAGTTCTTCATTTCTAGTTTAAGGGAATCGTCCTCCAAAATTCTTCCTTTCTCATATTGGTATCTCACACCAATCCCCTCAGAGGGCGTCAACAGGTTCCCCTCTCACTCACAGTGGCATCTCACACTAATCCCTTCAGAGGGCGTCAACAGGCCTCCCCTGCTTCTTCATAGTTTACCTTCGCCTACCGCTCACGCCACCCTTCAGCCAATGAACGCTCAGCAGCGTGGGTGCTTGCAATTATCGCCCAAAAGAAAGAAAAAAAATTATCTTCCTTCCTTTCTCTCTTTTTCCCTCTCTTCCACGAGCAGACCTCACACGACTTTTATCTTAACCGAACGAGGTCTGGAACTTGTCAACGAGACCTTCGCCAAACAAGCACTGAGGCTGGTCAATGATCTTCCGCACCCTGTCGCCAATTATCCGTTCCGATAAAATAATTTTTCTATCATGGCCAGCTCTGACACAAAACAGGTGCTCTTCTCAAATGATATCTCCACAGATCGTTAATGGTTTAATCTTTCCTTCTTTGTACTTTGTGGGTGGTCCAGCGGACATTTTTCTCGGTCAGTGCATGACCTTATTAATTTTTTATCTCTTAGCATTCTGCCTTGTAGGCCATTTGACCAACCTGAAATTTTCATTATTGCCATGGGCAGATTGCTATCTTCTTTCGCCGCGTCGTAACATAAATCAAATTAAATCCGGTATCTTACTTTCTTTGCTAATGAAAATAAAATCTTTACCACTTTTCTTTGTTAGAAAAAATAACATCGCTCAGTGTCTTTTCGTGATAGCTTCTTATCACCTAAATTAATTCTCGCTTTTTTTTCCCCACGCAACCCTAAATAGTGTCACAACTAAACTGTGGTAAACCAAAATACAGTGCTGTTCGATAAAAGTGGCTCACCTGATGTTTTTTAATTAAAATTTTTTTCGCCTATTGTTTTGGGGGTCAAACTAATTTTTAATCTTACTAATATAAAGACCTCTTCCCGACCACCTAGTAAAAAAGTTTACTCACCCTAAGGTATTGTATTGATAATTATAATTTTGGATATAAAGGAGATTTAGGGAAAAACTCTGTGCAAAAAAAAAAAAAAGCAAAAAAAGTGACTCACTTATTTCCTGCAACTAGTAATCAATAGAAACATAACCGAACAGCTTTAAATAAAGGATAATAGAGGTATAATTTATTTATAATAGGTATTATAGTTCGAAATATTTAATAATCTATGGGTCCTCCTTTATTTTGAATAACCTTTTCAACCCTTTTTGGCATTGACTTGATTAGGTTCTGGCTAATCTCATCTTCAAACATTGAATTCCATTCGGATATGAAATTCACAATCAAATCCTATTTGTTGCTCAACTGCTTTCTCGAGAGCCTGTACTTTATAATGCTCCATAAGTTTTCTATGGGGTTGAGGTCAGGAGATTGGGGAGGCCATGTCATAACACTCACCTGCTTCTCAACAAAGTATTTCTTCATCAATTCTGATTTGTGACGGGGAGCATTATCCTGCATAAAAATGAGCTTGGTGGGGTCGATTTGCACCCTTTCAGCAGAAGGGAGCAGACAAGACTCTAAAATTCTCTTGTACTGCTCGCTCCTGATTCTTTACAATAAGTTTTAGGAAACCAGTTCCATGAAAAGAAAAGCATCCCCAGAACATTATACTGAACGGATGCTTGACAGTACTTACTGCTAAATTCAAAGAGCTTTCAAAGCTTCTTCTTCGGATTTTAGACCGCTTGTCCTTTGAATTTAGCCTAACATTCGTTTCATCGTTTTTACATTTAGTAAAAAAAAAAAATCAGGTGAGTCACTTTTATCGAACAGCACTGTACCTAAATCATACGAAAAAGTACTTTCACTTCCATCCGCTTAAATATCCGACGCGGAATCTTTCATTGAGATTTCTTGTTGCCCCTTCTGTCTTCTTTTCCTTAATCACCCCTTTCACGTGAACTAAACAGTAATAACTATGAATACAAAGTAAAAAATAAAGTGTTCAATAACCTATTCCACATAGATGATATCAAACTCTGGAAATCTGAGGATATTTGCTGTCACATGACCCCTATGACAACCACCATATAACTTTTGAGAAGCTGTAAATAATAAAGCTAATAATAATGCGATGCATGTAAAACGAAATAACGTTTAAGTTATTGTAAACTTTATAATTGTTGATTCACATTAAAAAAAAGGTATTCACGCATCTTTTGTTGGTTGCTTACCTACATTTCATTTTCTTGTTAATACTTTTCTTTTTTCTGACATTACAATTTCCTCTGGCGCCTCTTACCCATTTTTTCACACCTGCATCTCGACACAATATTTATGAATCACTTCCTTTCCCGATATATCCTAAATCAGGCATTTGACAACGGTTTTCCTATTGGGTACTGTTATGACATAACTACCATTTCATAATTCATCTATATTATTTCGCGGAAGGGAAAAGAGAATAAAGAAAGAGAATAAAGAGAGAGAGGGAGAGAGAGAGAAGAAAAAATAAATAGAGTTGCATCGACTTCAGTGTTTTAAGGAAAACAAAAAAAAATGAAAATGACAGGGACAACGAAAAAAGGCAGACGGTATTTTTATTTGGAATGATTACCTCCCTTTCTTAATTCATCATGTATTATTTTTGTTTGTTTTTTCACTATTCGTTTATTTTTCTTAAAAGAAAAGAAAAGACAAAAGAAATGCAAAAAAACCCCAAATAATCAGTTGGAATGAAAAGAGGTTCCATTGCAAGATGACATAATGCTTTCCCGCGCAATCGTAGACATATAAATGCATTTGAAAGAGTATGTACATAAAGGTGAGAATGAGATACAGAAAGAAAAGAGATTGTAGGAGAAATATTTCAGAGTTTTTTTGTTTTTTTTTACCTTAGACGGAAACTGAGATATATCTTATAGGATTGTCTGTTAGTGCGCATGCGTGCGTGTGGGAGAAAGACGATGTAAATGTGAAGAAAAACAGATTGTTTTTGAGGATGTGAATTTGAAAGTGTTTGCGACAGAGATGTTATTAAGTAAAGATATCTCAGTTTGGCACAAGACCATGAATTTAAAAAGAAATATAGTGGAAATAGAAATATAGAAACCTGTTCTCTCTCTCTTTATATATATATATATAAATAGAGAGAGAGAGAGAGAGAGAAAGAGAGAGAGAGAAAGAGAGAGAGAGAACTGGTTTCTATATTTGTCTGATGATCGCAAAAGCGTGAAACCCAGGGTCACAAACTCACATCAATCCAGCCAAATATATATATATATATATATATATATATATATATATATATATATATAGAGAGAGAGAGAGAGAGAGAGAAAGAGAGAAATGAGAATATGAGAAACTGAATGAGTAATAGGGTAATTTATTTGAATATGAGAGAAAGAACAGATTGAGTGAGTGAGTGAGTAATAGGGAAGAACAGAGTGAGGAAGAAAGAGGGAAGGAAAGAGTCAGCGAGAAAGAGGAAAGGACAAAGTGCATTAGTGAGTGAGTGAGTGAGTGAGTGAGTGAGTGAGAAAGATGGAAGAAAATGAGTGAGTGGGAAAGAGGGAAGAATCGAATGTGTGAGTGAGGTAGAAAGAGGAAAGAACAGAGTGATTGATTGATTGATTGAGTGAGTGAGAAACAAGGAAGAACAGAAGGAGTGAGTGAGTGAGAAAGAGGGAAGAAAAGAGTGAGTGAGAAAGAGTGAAGAAAAGAGTGAGAACGAATGAGTGAGAAAGAGGGAAAAACAGAATGAGTGGTTGAATGAGTGAGTGGGTGAGGGAAAAAGAGAGTAAAAAAAAGAAAGAAATGGGATGGAGAAGAGAATAAGAGAAAAAATAATAGAGAGAAATATGAAACAAAGAAGAATGAATGAGAAAAAAAAAAAACGATAAAAGAGACGAGAGAAGACACCAGGACAAACAAAGAAGACATAAAGAAAGAGAAAATGAATGAAAATGAAAATGACCTGAGAAAGCCAATATGAAAGAGAGGATTAAAAAGTCGATGAAAAAAGAGAAATGGTGTCAGAGAGAGTTGAAAGAATGCGAGAGAAAGAAATGGAAAATGAGAGAAAGAAAGATAGAAATGGAAAGAAAACGACAAGAAGGCCGTAAAGAGAATGAAAATCAGAGAAGAAAAAGGAAGAGAATGAGAGAAAAGAGAATGTAAGTCATTAAGTAAGGGAGAAGGGTGAGAGAAGTATAGATAAATATACAGAAAAGTCGGGCAAAGAAAACTACCGCAGTAAAAAGGTAAGAAAAAAAAAAAAACCCTAAAGATCTCGATTGCATTTCTCCAAACAATATTCCTTTGCACCATTAGCAGATATCCGTCAGAATACACCAGCTGCATTGGTAACCTCAGTTGGCCGGGTCTTTCCCGGGGTGCAACGCGTTAAGACATTTCTGCAGTAAATGGACCTCCTCCCCGACTCGACTGCCATTCATCAAATTTTGTGTGTGTGGGGGGGATGCAAGCCAAGTTGAAGTAATAAATAATAAAGACATGAAATGGGGGGAAAAAACAAACGAAACAAAAAAACTATGCAGGAACAAACAAAATGAGAAATTCAACAGAAACAGAGTGGAAACGGAGACAGAGAAATTCGAAGAGGAGGGAAAAATGTTATGAAAAGGTATAGATGAGAAAGAGAGAGAAATAGAAAAAGTGAGTGTGAGGCAGAGAGAAGAAGAAGAAGAAGAAGAAGAAGAAGCAAAGTGAGAGAGATCTAAAAAATGAAATAGAAAGGGACAGAAAGAAAGGTAAAAGGAATAAATATACAAAAGAAAAAAGAAAACAGACTGATATGCGCGAGCGCGCGCACACACACACACACACACACACACACACACACACATATATATATATATATATATATATATATATGTACAGTTTCCTCCAAAAGTATTGGAACGGCAAGGCCAATTCCATTGTTTTTGTTGTTCACTAAAGACATTTGTGTTTAAGATCAAATCATGAATATGAGACAAGTGTTCAGGATTTCGGCTTTAATTTCCTGCTATTTACATTTAGATATGTTAAACAACTTACGACAAATCACATTTTGCATCAGATCACCCTCCCCTCCACATTTTTAGGTGAACAAAATTAAAGGAAGAAATAGTCTTAAAGTAAATAACATTTAATATTGGTTTGCATAATATTGCAATCAATTCCTACATCCAGCTTGTGACCTATGTTGGTTATGCCCAATGTTTGGCCAATGACTCTGATCGATTTTCCTTCTTTTCTTGGCTTCAAAATGGCTTGCTTTTCTCCCATAGACAGATCTCTCGAGTTCATGTTGGTTTATATTTTTTAACCAGAAATGCCGTTTTACAGTTAAAACCCAAAGCTAAAAACAAAGAGCAGTCATTCTGAGCTATTTTTTGTTTAAACACTCGATCTAAAAGACAACATCTGATGAACAAGAAACACCTGCGAGTCATGTGTTCCAATAGTATTGCTTACAGAAAAATTGGATGGGTTCAAACAAAAGGTGGTATGTCCTAAGTTGCTTAACACATCTAAATGTAAATACCAGAAAATAAAAGCTGGAGTTCTGAAAACTTGTCTCATATTCATTTTTAGAATGTCGTTAGTGAACAACAATCAAAATGAATTGTTCTTGTTGTTGCAATAGTTTTTTAGAGGACTATATATATATATATATATATATATATATATATGTGTGTGTGTGTGTGTGCATCCGATGTTGGTATAGAAATCAGAATTCTGTCGTGGCTGAGGCATGAAACTGACGATCATTTTGGGTGCACACTTCCTGGTGACCATTTTCCTAGAAATGTAGCATATTTAAATCATGATATATATATATATATATATATATATATATATATATATATATATATATATATATATAGTGATTTTCTAAACCCGGCTTAGATGTGGCGCAAGGACGAAAGTATGGGGCACCCAGTGAGGATCGAACTCATTACTCAGTCGTAATTGATCTAGCAAGACAAGCTTTCTAACAATTACACCACGTGGAGGTGCCCAATATATATATATATATATATATATATATATATATATATATATATATATATATATATATATATATATATATATATATATATATATATATGCACCTCCTTGGTCTCACGTTTTCCACTGACCTGAGATGGAACAACTACATTGAATCAATAGCTTCATCTACCGCAAGGAAAGTTGGTTCTTTGTGTCGCGCCAAAAGGTTTTTTTCTTGCCTGAGTCCATCCTTCAAATCAACAAATCTAGCATTTGTCCTTGCATTGAATACTATTGCCATATATGGTCTGGTGTCCCCGCTGTTCATCTCGAGGTCCTAGACAAAATCCAGAGACGGATATGCAATGTGATCTGACGCCTCGTCTACAGTCACTTTCTCACAACCATGACTTGGCTTCCCTCTGACTTTTCTACATATATTTTCATGTTAAACTGCTCTAACGAACTACTTTCACTGGTGCCCCATCTGCATGAATTTAAGCGTGCTACTATGTTGGCATCTCTGTGCCACACTGTCACTGCTGAAACGGTTAACTGTAACCGCCTATTCTATTCCAAAAGCGTCTTCTCTCGCACGTCCCGCCAATGGATCTCCTTTCTTACCGCTTGTTTCCTTCATAGCTATAATCTTCAAATCTTCAAATGTAATGTCAATCGACATCTGCTGCTTTAATCCTGATCCCTGTCATTCTCTATATCCTTTTCTCACCCCTCTTTACTTTTGCTCTCACTCTCTGTAACCCCTTGCGCGCTAGTGGGAATCTTGCCTTTCTTGGGGTGAAATGCTTAAAAAAAGAATATATATATATATATATATATATATATATATATATATATATATATGTGTGTATGTGTGTGTGTGTGTGTGTGTGTAAGCATTCCTTCATGGTCGTTTATTTCCTGTTTAGGATGGGATATCCTCTTCCTTCTAAAGTCAGTTTCAGCGCTATACTCCTAACGCCTGTTTTTTCTTAGGTTAATATAACTCCACACAGTAATCCTCTATCATGAGTGGCTCTCGGGCTTTGTCTTGCGTAAACATTAGTAAAAAATATGATTGTCTCTTCGAGTGTGTATGTATATATAAAGTATCGTGTAAGATTGCCTGTCAATATTTGTTATTTCAGATTGAAGGAGGCGGCTTACTAAACACTGCTTGTTCCAGTTGATTAGTTTGCAGAAAGCAGTAGGGACGTGAAAACAATTTGGAAGCTCGCTATGTGATGAGGTTTTCTGTTGATAGAGAATAGTATCAAAACTGTCTTTCAAACAACTCGCAGTTCAGACATTTTGGTTGCTCTCCAAGCTGCAGGAGAACCTTAGCGGCATTCATTTGTAAGACATTTAGAAGATGAAGGAGGCTGTGACAAAGGTCCTGGAAACCTTCATTTTGGATGACCACCACGGAACCTTCATGAATTAGATGGAGAACTACAACAAGTGCAGTGAAGGAATTTTATACCTCTTTTAAATTAATATATTTCTCTCCAGAAATGCACCTAGTATATATATATATATATATATATATATATATATATATATATATATATATATATATATATATATATATAGCAGGCTTGGCCCACTCGGTATCGCTTCGCAAAGTAAGATATATTCACTACTTGAAATGTTTGAAACAAAATTTAAGTGAATATTCCATTCATAAATTAGCTTGTTATAGTTAAGGAAAGTTTTACAAATAGATGCCAACTTTTTGAAGGCCAAGTAAAATGCAAATTTCAAACATTTGTCTGCACTATATACGACGATATATATAAACAGAATTACTTTTGATATGAAAATTAAAACAATCCTTGAATAAAAAACAGTAATGAAGGACAGTTAATTAATGAAATGAATTTTTTAAAAAAAATCAATGTGCAATTTAATTAAACCTGGAGACTGATATTGCCAAGAATTAGATAATATCTAATATAGATATTGAGTTTTCAGCGTGCAAATTCCTCTCTCGAAGGGTATACTCATTCGGATACTTACCGGTCATAGGGACCCGTCCCTGTCTTGCTAGTATCACAGCTATGACTAGCTTGGACCGGCTCTGAGCTGCTATGACCAGCTAAGACCAGCTATGACTAGTTTAGACCAGCTCTGACCAGCTTAGACAAACTATGACCAGCTAAGACCATCGGACCGAGTGAAGGTAATTGGGTCAATACGTTAAAAACTGACCTTGTGGAGAGTCAAGTAAATCAACCGCTCTCTCGATGGGTTTATTTTACCATCTCTCAGTTGAATCTTTGTCTTTGGGCAGAGTGCGCTCAGGGGCGGCTCCGTCAAAGGACAGAGGGCAACTGAGGAAAATTATACTGAGAGCTACCCAATCCTGGGGAATAGCTGCCCGAATCCGTGCCCTCTCATTGCAACAGAGAGAGGGATTGGTGCTCGCACAGTGTGCAGCTCAATCGACGTTTGGTGGGGATGCGGGGAATTTTTGTTTCTTGCCTTGGGTATACGCGCTCGGGAACCCACCTTAAAAACTGACCTTGTGTCACAGCTTCTTTTAGTGGGGAGACAGAGTAAATATCTAGTGTGTAAACTTCTCCCTCTGGTTTTTAATAACACATTGATACCTACCAAGCATAGGGATCCTTCCCTGCGCTGGTAGTATCACGGCTATGACTAGCTTGTACCAGCTTTGACCAGCTTAGACTAGTCATGTCTGGCTTAGACCAGCTCTGACCAGCTTAGAAAATTTATGACCAAATAAGACCAGCGACCCGAGTGAAAAACCCGATGTTAAAACCGACTTCGTGTTATAACCTGACGCAGTTCAAGTAAATACAAACTGCTCTCTCGAGCAGATTGTAACACATTATTTACATTCTCTCAGCAGTGTCTCTGTCTTTGGGCAGAGTACACGCAAAAGCGACTTATTCAAAGGACAGAATCGCTATTGAGGAAAATTATACTGAGAGGTACCCAGCCCTGGGAAATGATGTCCGAAGCCGCGCACTCTCATTGCACCAAAGAGAGGGATCGGTGCTTGCATCGAGGCCAGCACAACCGGCAGTTGCGGGGGCTTCGGGCAATTTTTGTTCCAAGCCCGGGTTTGCGCGCTCGGGTTTGCGCGCTCGGGTCCCACGCTTAAAAACTGACCTTGTGTCACAACTCGTCTTCCTGGGGAGACAGAGTAAATACCTAATGTGTAAATCGTTCTGGAGTAGTTTGTAAAACGTTTATCATTTCGCAGTTGCGTCTGTGACTTTGGGATTTGTGCGTTCAGGGGCGGCTTCGTCAAAGGACAGAATCGCAACTGAGGAAAATTATACTGAGAGGTACCCAACCCTAGGGAACAGCTGCCCGAATCCGCGCACTCTCATTGAACCAGAGAGAGGGATTGGTGCTTACCCCGAGCCCGTCGCAACCTACGGTTTGCTGGGGCTCGGCGAATTTTTGTCTTTAGCCCGAGTGTACTCACTCGGGTTCCCCACATTAAACTGATCTTATGTTATAATCTGACTCCATGGGGTGGGCGCGTCAATTAAATACTTGCTATAAAGTAGAGCTGGTGCTTTTTAATTAAGAATTCGTGGAAGAACTGAGCTCCAGTTCATAGATTCCATACTATAGGTTTTTACTTAATTAGCTATTATGTTTCTCTAACTCTTTAAATGTTGAATATATAACTAATTCTAATTTCTATTTTCCTATCTTTACACTATGTTAATTTTATCTTATAGATTGTCCCCTGTTCTG